ACAGCAGCTCCCATTGTTTGTTTGTTTTTCCCCCCAGACTAGACAGCATGTGGCTTATGAGCCACACTGATAGATGTGATAAAGCTCCTGCCAGATCTGATTGATGATGGCACTAGGAAGTGCTGTGAAGGTCACGGTGTAATTCTCCCTTTGCAGCTGCTCCTGGCAAAAAATGGTACAGGAAAATAAAATCTGGATTCGCTAATTGCTACTAACAGGGAAATTCCGTCCTTACCTGGCCTTCTCTTCTCTTCCAGTTTCTAACAGGAATGCTGTAAGCAGGTGTAACTGACGAGAGACCAGATAAGTTTCAAAACATACTTAAAGATCCTTTAATGGACCCAAAAAAAAAAAAATCTATCCACAGCAACTGGCCAAATATTGAGCCTTTATACTTTGAAGACAGTGCAGAGTAGTTTTAGCATGAAAGCTGCACATGAAAGAGCTTTTACTATTTGCTCTTCTGCAAAACTGAGATAACATACCACTACATATTCCCTGTGAAGGACTGCTATCTCTGATGATGTGAATATATGAACTAAGCTCCTTTCCCAAAGTCTATTCATTTTAAATGAACAAGGCAAGCATGCTTACTGGAAGTGACTAGTAGCAAGCCAGAGCATCAGCCACACAAGTGGGACACCAAAATCATCTTTTCCATAGATGTTGAGATGTCATGAGGACACTGATAACAGACTCTGGGGAATTCACAAGCATGATATAATGACAGTCCCCTAATGAATAATATATATTCAGTGTAAGTCATAGCAATTACCTCACATACAATGTTGTATTTCTTGGGGGTAAGATGTTGTTATCTTTGAGACATCAGCTACATTACAGATTAAATTTGAAACCACTTGTGTACTCTTTTCTGGCACTCACTATTAATGGATGGAAATATTTTTACACAGCATTTTGTACTCACAAAGATTTTGGCACAGTAAGGCCATTACCAACATCTGTCTTAGAGAAAGATAGTCTTTATCACTCAACTCAAAACTACATAATGGCAGAGAGATCTTGGCAGCAGGAATCCCCCAGACAGTTAAAAAACCCCACCACTATGTCACCATAAAAGGAATAATACATTGGGTTTTTTTTCCTTTTCCAGTTGAGGAAAGAGATTTAGAAAAGACAGGTCTATCAGTTTCCTCCTTTTACTGCCAAACATACACAATCAATTTTTTAAATACCAATATATGTAAAGAGCAGTATCTATACAAGATCCAACTGATTAAAAAAATCCTCTTAGGAGTTTTCTTTCCTAGATTTCTTGATGAACGCTGGCAAAATATAAAAGAGCTATTGATTTATCCTTTCCACAGACTCCTGTATTCTCCAAGGCATACTCTAAGAGAGGTAACCACCAGCAGATCATTTGGACATTGCTCTGTTAAGGCACCTTTGGCAGTCAAACCTTTCTATGCACACTGAGCCATGGCTGATTTTTTGCTAGGATGGCAAAGGGGAAACTGATGGCAGTGTTGTCACTCAGGTTTTAATTACTTGCCATATCTCTGGAAAACAGAGATGATGTCCCAAAAGACTGTTACCTGCTATGAGATATCCCCCACTGCACAAACCCAAGTTACGATCCTGCAAAACTGTTCATTACCATCACTCACAGCAGCATGTCTTTTATGACCAGCAGAGTCAAGAGTTAACTTCTGATCACAGAGTATCATAGAACAGTTTGGGTTTGGAGGGACCTTAAAGATCATCTAGTAGAGAAAGAGCAATTGAATAGACACAAAGTGTTTTAGAGCAGTGATGCACTACAAAAGGCAGACCTTTGAGTGTGTATGGACAGGTTGGTGCAGTGAGACTCCCGTGCTGGTGCAACCCCTGCACTCTGAGCTCAGGGTCACTGCCATTGCAGCCACATGCCTTCCTACCTGCTCATTCTGTGCTGACAGACTGCTCTGGTACAGCTCCATGCAGACACTCCCCAAAAAGACATCTGGTATGGTCTTGAAAACTTAAATTGCTCTAAGGTCAGCTTGGGGTGCTTCATAGTAGGAAAACTAATTCCTCAAACTAATTCCTCCTAGACACCCCTTAGGGATGGAGGGGCACATTCAAGATCTGGCTTTTTCAGTCCTTCACTAAAAGCTCAAGAGTTCACTGTACCTGCAGTCCTCAGATTGACTTCCACATTTTTATTAATTGTGTTGGGTTTGACTATTAGGAGTTCAACTGTGAGCCTAAGAACACTTTACATTACAATGAAGTACATTGATCTGGAATAATACCTACCAAGTGTGTAACCCAGTCACCTGCCCAGGCCAGACAGGCATTTTCTACACCAGATGAAACACTATTTGTCAATGAAGCGATGAGTCGGGAAGTCAGAACCATACCAGTAGCTAGGTGTCATTCACACCTAAAACCAGTTGAACAGCACACCTGGAAGGGATGCATAATTTTTTTGGAAAATTGCCACAGTATGCTTTACTATGACTAACCCACAAGAGCCCAGAGTAGACTAGGCTGTACAGGAGTTTGAGGTGCAAGTCCTTGCATCCCACTCTCCCACCTCAGCTGGAGATCTGCAAATGAATTTAAAGTACATCTCTTCCTCCTCCTCTTCCTCCTCGACCCCTCCTCAGGAAACAAAGAGCACAGCTTTGAACAAAGCAGTTAAGCAGGCGGGCTCCTGGATACCACACTCCCCCTGACTGATCTATCAGACACAAAACTTTTGAAAATGCATGGAAATTAAATCAGTCGACTCCAGATAGCATCAACCAGCCCTGAACTGCTGGCTCTTTGTCCTGAGGCAATGTCACACGGGAGACTGCAGCAAGCAGCAGGGCAATACAATTCCTGGTCATACAGCAAGTTGTCTTTGCACCACTGAAAGGAATAAGCACAATTCGTCATACATGTACCAAATACAGCCTGTTCCACTGAGACTTCAATATTTGCTTTTGGGCTTTATGTTTCAGACAGTATCTTTTCAACTCTGAGAACTTCAGGAGAGGAAAAAGAAAAATCATCCTTCACTAAGACGGTAAAATTTTAAAATAGTGTAAGTAGTTGATCTATTGAAGTCTTGCATTTTACCCTGTCCTCTCTGGCACTGATTCAATACTTCAGTTTCAACCCCACAGACCTTCCAAACCCCTTCATCTAAAAATCTACCCAAGCCACAGGAACACAACATAACACTTTGACTTTTGATGACAAATTTCCTACGAAACACCAAACATGCCACATATCACCAAAGGCAGTGAGTATCTGCTCATTGTTCTGTTTGCCGGCTTGTCACTGCAATCACTGGCTGACACACAAAGAAAACTGTAGATCTTCTTTTTCAAATCCATTTCAAATTCTTCTTAAACCCATGTGGGGCCCTATAGCCCAAGAAAGACAGGATGCTCTCCCTCTTGCTCTAACATAGCATTTGCTCTTCTTTTACAAAGGAAAAATGGTTTGTTCAAAACAAGGAAGTAATTGTGCAGTTCTTCCCATGGAAACCACCAGGAGGCACAAGGGATGACGGAAAGGCACCAAATGCCCATATCCGAGAGCACTGATGGATTGATCCATCTGGCTGCCAAGTGCTCCCTTGTGCTCCTGCACCGACCATTCTCAGAAAGGCACACAAAAAAAGGTTCACAACACTATTATTTTCATGAAAGGAAAAGAGTGGCCCCGCAACACTTGGAGCAAACAGTAGCAGAGCACCTGCAAGGGCAAGACACTAGTTATGGAATAATCATTAATTGTTATGGATACCTCTGAGAACTGAACCAAGTCGTGCTATGACAATTTTTTCCCCATGGAACAAAACAAAGAACTGCACAAAGAACAGCAGAATCTGTCGCCTTAAGAAGCCCTAGACTGAAATACATGATTTAATTGGATCTCTCTGGTTTTGAGATTTATCATTTCATAGTTGGACCTCAGTCGCAAACTTCAGTAATACAATAAACAGAACAGGCACAAGCACATGAAGTGTTTGCATCAAAATGATCATAAGGGATCCAGAGAGGAAATGAGCTAAATACTTCTCTGTTTCTCACATGTGCCTTATCTTGCCTTTCAGAGTGTGCATTTACTCAGCTGCACTATGCTTTAGGGCAGGTGAACGCCTGGGTTGCCGAGGGATGCCTGCCTGAACCCACTCACCTCCTGCCACTGCAGAGCTTTCAGCTCGTGGAGCAACTCCCGGTTTTGGCAGTTTATCTGGCTCTTTTGCCGCCCATTATTTTCCTACCGCCTAAATCTTTGGCAAGTTTCCTCTAAGCCCTCCACACAAGACACATACCGCGCGTAGGACCGACAAACTCGAGTTTTCAAAAAACCTCTCAGTGGAAGAAATCGAACCACGTCGCTGTGAGCGGTTCCCCCCATTCTCCAATGGCAGGCTGCTCCTCAGCCCAACAGGAAATCAAGGAGGGGGTCGGCCCGGGAAGCCGAGGGGATGGATCTAGAAAGATGGTTCTGTTCGCCTGTGCCCTGACCGACTCCAGGACTGTAACATGATGCAATCTCTCGGCTGTGATGAAACAGATCAAATGGCCAAGCCTGCGGGGAGACCACCTCTGCCCACCCCACAAGGCAGAAAATAAGGAAGCTCGCAGCGGTACAAAGCAGCAGCGCGGCTGCGGGGCCGGTGCCTTTCCCGGGAAGGGATGCGAGTTTCGGGATGGCGGACAGACAGAGGGCTGCGTTCCCGAGGATCTCGGCCGGGCTCCTGCCCTTCCACAGCCCGATAACCGGGTTCCCTCCAGCTCTTTCCATGTGCTGCTCCCGGCCAAGAAAACGAGCGAGACTTTTTTTTTTTCCTATTTTTTTTAGCTTTTTTTTCCCAGTAAACCCACAGCTTTCCTAGCACACGGCTGCCGGGAGCAGCAGCGGAGCAGCGGCTGAAAAAGCCCATTTCTGAATCCAGCCCTTCCCCTCCCTCTTCTTCCCTCCCGTGCTCTCTCTCCGCCCGCGGAGCTCGGCAGGGATGCTGCCCGGGCCGAGCGGGGCCCGAGCCCTCCTACCTTTGCGGCCGTCCTGCGGCGGCTGCCGGCACAAAGCGGCCGAGCGCGGCTCCTCCCGCGGCTCCTCCCGCAGCCCCGCTCTGCCGCGGAGCGCAGCCAGCGCCGCGCCGGCAGGGGACAGCGGGGAGGGGACAGCGGGGCGGGAGCAGCAGCCCGCTCCCACCGCCCCCGGGCCGGGCCCGCCCCGCGGGGAGGGGACAGCGCCGGGGCGGAGCCAGCGGAACAAAGGCGGGGGGGCGCAGCAGCGCCGGGTGCGGGCAGGATGGGGCAGGTGTGCGCAGCAGCCCCGGGCAGGATGGGGCAGGTGTGCGCAGCAGCCCCGGGTGCAGGGCAGGATGGGGCAGGTGTGCACAGCAACCCCCTGGGTGCGGGGCAGGATGGGGCAGGTGTGCACAGCAACCCCCTGGGTGCGGGGCAGGATGGGGCAGGTGTGCACAGCAACCCCCTGGGTGCGGGGCAGGATGGGGCAGGTGTGCGCAGCAGCCCTCGGGCAGGATGGAGCAGGATGGGGCAGGTGTGCGCAGCAGCCCTCGGGCAGGATGGGGCAGATGTGTGCAGCAGCCCCGGGCAGGGGCAGGATGGGGCAGGTGTGCGCAGCAGCCCCGGGTGCGGGGTAGGTAAGCCCAAGTGCTCCTTGCGAGGCAGATGCTGGCAGATCAAACTTGGGGTCTTGCCCCAGAGTAAAGCCTCCCAGGAGCCGGAGGCTTGTTCCCCGAGTAAAAGCTGGAATACTGAGAGGTCACAGCGGGAGCCTCAGCGCAGCCCATGCCCTCCCCATTCCTGCCCAGGAGATGCTGTGACCTGAGCACTGAGCAGTGGAGGAATGACATGGATTTGGGGCATAACCAGCAGGTCTGCATTTATCTAAAATTTAAGCTCTTTTGTTGAAATGGTGTAAAATCATGCACAAACCCAACACCTGGTTCTGTCATCTTAGTTTAGCTTAATATAAACCAGATCTAAATCAAAGTGAGAACTTTTTGATTAAACTGAGACTTATATTGATTAAACCTGCAGGCTTCAGTTTGTAACAAAATTGCTCGGCCTGGACAAACTTACATAGGGGCAACCTGAGTAAACATGTTCCAACTTTGAGATATCCAAATATATATATTTATATATATAAATACATATATATATTTATTATTCTATATTTATATATATTTCTTTTCCTCCCTGTCCATACAGAAACTGAAAATCTGAGGTCACAGAAGAATGTCACTAAAAGAAGAACATTAGTTAAGGCAACTCTGTCTTTAGTCCAGCTGGGTGTCAAAAACTCCTTTAATTTCAGCTAGATGCACAAGTGTGCTCTTATGAGAAATATTTGGGGAACATTGGACATGCAAGGGCATAGTTCTGTAGGAGCTTGTAGCTTACTTTGTACCATAGAGTATGCAACTTGTTAAGCACCTTAAATTTTGATTAATAAAATTTGGTTGTTCTGGCCAGGTTTAATGTGCTCTTCTGTCCTGTTTCATCATCCTCAGTCATTCTAAGAAGGTCATACCAAAGGTAACAGGTTTGACCAGGGAAAATTCTATTTAGTCAGCATATACACTGTGTGGCCACTTAGGATATGCATGAGATCTCTGTAGCCCAAAAGAGGAGAGCTGAATTCACAGCCCAACCTTTTCAGCAAGTATTACTTAGCCTAAAAGCTCACTTTCAGCTGTTCTCTTTCTTGTGTGCCTGTGGGTATGGGCAGGGAAGGACTTGCCTACTGGATGAGCTATTACAGCAGCAGCCTGCTCCTACCTGCCTTTCTGTATTCTGCTTGTTGAGAGTTGGCAGGGAAGAGCCTTGGAGTACTTAGAAGTAGTGATTTTTCAGGCAATAGTAAAGTGCTTAGCTGGTCTTGAAAAAATTAAAGCACAACTCCTCTTCTCCATGGTTCAATTGCTTGCAGCTATTGCTCTCTTTGAGCTATTTAATTTGTATAATGACCTGTAAAATATGATCTCTAGGGAGAACAATCCAGTACTTTGCTGTAAAAGCACAGCCCTTGGCTGCTGTGGCACATACAGTACCATTGATTTCTATACTTGCAGTGAGCACTTCCATTATTTGCTGGCTTTATTGACTCTAGTTATGTTGTTTGGTTTTTTTTAATTTTAATGCACACATCACATTAAGTAACACTTCAGCTTCTGCCTGCCATAAGACACTCTGTGGTCTGTAAACAGGGAGCTTGGTTCTAGCAACACTTCAGAGTATTTCTTCCACAGAAATGTCCTGAAGAAGTTAGGAAGCTGATCAGCAGAGAAACAGAGATCAGAGAAAGTCATCACAAGACCAGCAAGAAAATAAGCTCTTTGTGCCCTCTGTCAGACATGAAAGTGAGATAACTTAAAGGTTTGTCCTTAGGCTGTTGGAGAGAGTGGTGAAGGCTTCATGTCTTGTGGTGGTAACTCCATAGGGACTGAATAATGGGTCATCTATCACAAAGACAATCACCAGACAGCACAAGCTGTTCCTCATGGACAAGCTCTCTCTCAGGCTGATGGGCTCAAAAGGACGTTTTTCTTATTTGAATTTTTAGTTTTCACAATGCTACACTTCAAAATGGCATTACTCCCACAATTTTTCATTTGTACATATGCATTCTATAAGCTACTTCAGCTGCAAAATACAGCTTAGTGATTAATTGAATTTCTTCCCCATGAATCTTTAATGACGCTACTTAAATACAAATTCTATTTTATAGAATTAAAAAGAACAGCATATAATTCACCTAGAACACAATATCATCAAAATAAATCAAGTGATTCCTAAGGAATTGCTTGCAGGGAAACTGAAGTCACATCATTAATAGGAAATCTGAGGTCCACAGTAACTCTACGTCATATTTTGCACCCAATAAACTTCTTAAACTAATCATCTTTTAACACAAAGCAGCAGAAAGCAAATCTCTGTAAATGTCCCTATTTGAAATACATGTCCTCCAGCTTGAAAAAGCACTTTTTAGCTTTAAGACCAAATATTCATGCAGTGTTTCAAACTGTCTTTATTCTCAATAATTCATTATAAAGTTCTACTCTATCAAGGGTAACTTCATTACTGTAGAAATAATCTTCACAAGCTTTAGGCAGGACTTGGTGAAGCTTAGTCATAGGGATCCCCAATCTTCCTATAATCTTCTTAGCACTGGTTATCACAAAAGAAAAGAAAATAATCAGAGCAAAGAAAAATAAACAGTCGAGTAGTCCCAGCACTAAGGTATCCAAATAGACTTGTTTACAAAACTACGACTTTAACCATCAGATAATCTGTACTGTGTTGAAACAGAGAAGTCATGACAATGACAGACCATATTTGTTATCTTTAGGATGTGCTTAAAAGAGTTATTTATGCATATTTAAAGTTTTTTTTCCCCCCTTGGAAAATCAACATTGGTTGAAATCTGAGGAACACAGGCATGAGAAAAAAAATCTCCAACCATTTGTTGTGATTTACGTCTTGTAAGGTACTCCAAGCATTTTGGATTTGGCTCACTTAAGTAATGTAAAAAGGCAGGAAAACAGTACTTTAGGCATTTAGAAGTATGGGTCAGTTTTTAAAGATACACTCAATTCCACTTCAAATCTGCCTTGGACTGAGTCCATAACCTGACAACTCACTAGTTTAAGAGGCCCCAAAAACTCAGCAACATCCTATTGAGGAAAAAGTATAAGAAAACCTATTGGATGATCTAAGTGATGACTGGTATTCCCTGAAAGTCTGCTCAATACTTTTCAGTAAGACCTTTCCAGGTGCCTGTACAAGATTATGTTCGTTATTTTCAGTACAATAAAGTGAAATCAAAGCTGTGGGGAAAAGCCTGTATGTTCTTGATACTTGGTATCAGACTGTAAAATAATTTGCCTCTTTGGATTGTTTTCTTGTTTTTCTTGGAAGGGGGGTTAAGCAGACAAAAAAAGCCAAAAATCCTAGAATTGGCAAAATGTTGACTTCATGTGAGACCCCACACTGCCCTGTGACACTGGTGTGTCAGCAGGGCAGGTCAGGCCCTTGGAGCAAGCATCAGCTGCCTCCTGATGTGTCCAAACTCCTGCCCTCATATTGTGTTGCTGGGGGGGAAAGGATGGTCTCAGGGAAGAGTGAAAAGCAGGCAAAAATCCTGTGCAATCTGGGCTGTCAGGAGATGGAGTGACATTGCAGCAATTGCCACTCTCTTCAGTAAAACATAATGATGTCAGGATTTCAAAAGCAGGAGGCAAGTTATGCCTTTTTAGAACAGAAACCTTCTGTTACTTTGAAACCATAATTTTTCAGTAAGGAAAACATCACTGTTTCTGAAGTTGTCTCAGACACTCAAGGCATTTACAGACTAGGAAAAAATGTATTTTACAAATTGAAAAAAAGTTCTTGACAAAGATAGGGTCTTTTGCCCTTGCTTATCATATACTGTGATCCTGTTACAGCAGAATCTATTGTTATTAAGAACCTGATAGCATCTTTTAAATTTTTTTTAAAGAGTATAATGAGTTATTTCTTCTTGGGTCCCACATAATTTCCAGGTCCACTGGGGGAAAAAGTAATTATATTTTAGACACACTTGAAAAATTTGTTTCAGGGATCTTAAAGTGCTGAGTCCATGTATGTCCCAAAAGGACTTATACAGCAGAAATGCCATTCACCTTTGTGCAAAAAGCAAATTTGAAAAAGTGTGCATTATAGAAACTTCAAGAGCAGGGATTGCGCTCCTTTTCTACAATGCACAGGCCTCTCCTTACTCTCCACACAGATAAGTCATCTGTGTAACAAAACACTGCAAGTAAATTCAGAGAGATGTAATTAGGCTCTTGATTTTGAATCATGGCAAAAGAAGGAACATGTAAAAAAAGGAGAATATACATTTTATAGAACCTTATTGTGCAGGTAAAAATAGTTACTTTCGACTTATATTCCACTGTTTGAACTAAACATAGGCAAACAATCCTTCCTTGTAATTTGAGTTTTGGAAGAAGTTCTGTATAACCTGACCTTTGCGCTCTGTGCAGGTACGAGCGCCAGTGATTTCAGTGGGATTAGCATTTAGTTACTGACATTTTCAAAATACTATGCTAACATCTTTTTATTAAATGGATATTAAACCTT